CGGGGTCGAAAAAAAGAGCAGCCCGAAATCCATTTAATGATTGCAAGCATTCTGTTGGGCCATCTTGTCTGTTTCACATTTTCCTGTCAGACTCCAGACTTTTGACCACCGCACAATGTTTGCTTTTCATCTTGTCGTTTTTTTGCAAACTAAAGCCTCAGAGGCGCAGCAGTGTTTGCCTCTCATTTTCCTTTTTCGGCCTTTTGGATTTCCGTAGAAACATCAGAATCTCTTTTCTGTATGGTCCATTAGACCCACTTGTTCCGCTGCTGCTCTTACTCCATGCATTGCCCACATTCCCAGTTTATCTTCTGGTCGAAACGAAAAGCAAATGCCAGGAACTGTCCTCTTGGTTTCTTTGAAGCAAAACAGAGAAGAAACGTGAAAGCTGTTCGGCTTTATCTCTGCTTCCACTCTGAAAAACAACAAAGTGAAGGAAAGGAAGTTTCTCTCACAGTTGCAGACAAAAACGGCTTTCCCGTGCACCGATTTTGATCTCGAATGAAGAAGAGGTGGAAAAGGTTCGTTCTCTGACTTCTCTGTTTGGAGTAAAAAAGAAACAGAGACAAAGTTGCTTGTGGTGCTTGTCTGCAAAAAGAATACTTGCATGTTCGCAAATCATCAAGTTGAGAAGCAAATGGCCACTTTCCCAAACTGGAAGATGGCAGAACCTCAAGGCAGGGACTGCGAAGCAAGAAGGGAACGACCAGTGCGGAACTGAAGTGGAACTCCGATGGAACTGTTCCAAGCATCTCAGAGTTGAAAAACTTCCTGTCTTGCAACAGCGCGAGCTTTGCTGGAACGTTCTTGCAAACGGTTTGGCTTTGTTCTGTTTTGACCAAGAAAGACAGTAAAATCAGGTTCCGCACCCTGAAAAACACACCAGCCAGCGTCTTGATCCAAGTTGCAGCAACAGCATTGAATCTGCAAATGTTAGAAAACACCATCATCTTTTGAGAAGTCCAAAGAAAGATTCAGATTTAAAATTTGAACTGAAACAAGTGGAATGTGATCCAAAAAATGCAGAATCCCTTGCTTTCATCGCCATAAGGATCGATCTCTGTCACCAAGTCTTTCTGTCTGAATTCTTGCAGTTTGACCAGTAGAGCGGAGGTGTCAGGCCGCTCACACTTTTCTCAGTCTTGCTCAACTGCGTGCACCGTGCAGAAAAGTGAGAGTGTGAGACGCAGTGCGAGTTTGCGTGGTGAAATCTGGTCCGGGAGAGGGAACTGACGGCTAATTTGCGACAAGTGCGTGGTACGGCAGGTGCTCTTTGGTCCGTGTGTGTGCGTGTGTCTTCGACCCGCGATGAAATGCGAATGGAAGGCGAGGCTGGTGGACATGGGCGATGATGCTCCAGCAGGAGACGTAGGCTGCACGCAGAGCTGAATTGACGGCAACGTGCAACCCGGCGCATGTTTGTGTGAGCCGCAAGAAGGCCGTGGGTTTAGGGCCCAGCGGCTTCCCGTTTTTAGAGTGAAAACCACTTGCTTAGGACGACTCCGAGATTCTAGGCCCAGACCGGCGAAGCCGAAGGGTGCCTCCGAAAGTGTATTGCAGCGACTGGCATGTGAGCACCGCGGTGCCCAGGTAGATCGCAACTGCGGGTTCCGCAGCGAAATGGGTGGAGAGCACGGAGGGCACATTGCGCAACAAGTAGGTGCTCAGAAATGAAGCAACAGCTAGGAGGCTTGCAGATCTGGCGTTCGCATGTCCGAGATGTCGTCGAGATGTTTGCAGGTTTCTCACGACGTTCCAGATGCATCCAGATGCGGGTTTTGCCGTGATCAAGCTCGATCCGTGCGTGCTCGCGGAGTGGTCATTGGCAAACGTGTTGCATCTCACGGACGCGCTGGTCCGCCTGGACGGACGCGCTCTCAAAAGGAGCATACGCGTCCGAGCTCCAAGCCGCCCGCATGCCTTGTCAGAAAAAACCTCAACACTTGCGGAGGCACGGAGTCGCTGGCCGTCCCCTTCGCGTTGCCACTGCACGGGATCCACGGGCTGCCCATCGACGCTGTGGGGCTTTTGATCACGTCTCCATCACGTGATGCTTTGCCGGTTTGATGCACGGGCCAAGCCCGCAGCACTTGCTGCCCGTCGTGCGCCTCTTCTATGTTTGCGACAGCACATACGCGGCCAGCCTAGGGAAGCGAGCAAGGCGACCCGCTCATACCCGCTCTTTACGCCATCGCTCAACACCTCGCCGTCACTGTTGTCAATGTGCAATGAAATTTACGTTGTCGCGGCTCCTCCTGTGCCTCGTCGGGGGCGGATGGGCACATCGAACTGGCCAACGGCTTCCCTGATTGCCACAGCGTGCAGGTTGCGGTCGACACCACCCCTTTGTGCCTAGTTTCAAGAGACGGCACGGCCCGCGTGCACGGCATGGCAGCCTCCGATGCGGCTGCGCCGGGGCCAGAAAAGAAGGTTGAACTCTTGGCGCGCCCCCCTGCAAGCTAGTTACGGTTGTCGGGGGTGGCCGAAAGGCTTACGGCCGGGACGGTTCCTCTGCCATCCTCCGCCTCTTAGCCGAATCGCTCGTGCAGCCCCCGCGTGATTGAGAACCGCCGACGCGCCAGGCTAGAGTCCACAAATGCGGCGGGGATGCTGGCAGTGGCATCGCGCGTGTGCTTCGTCGCTCTTGCATAGAGCTTTTCTTTGTAAGTGCATAACAGGCTGGCGGGGCAGAACAGGTTGGGGATGTTGGGGACAATAATTAGGGTTTCCCCTGCGTCTGACGGTTGCCAAGCAAATTATGTGTGCTTCGCGGTTCGTGGTTCGTAGGTTGCGAAAACATGCATCCCTGGCACTATTTTTTGCAAAAGGCTTTCTGCACAAGGTTTGGACGATACACCCATATAATCCAGATACTGGTTTGTACTGCATAGAGGCGCTCATAATTAATATGTTGGGTTTAAGGAATTTCATGTATTCGTCATGGCGCTGCAGACTCTTCTGTCTGCTTTATTGGCACCCGGCAAGCTCACATCCAGAGGTGCGGGGCTGCATTGGTGTAGCTGCCCATGTGTCGTGACGTTTTGAATGAACTTGATGTGGAGGCCCTCGCACCAAGCACAACTGCCGGCGTGTCCGGGCAACGGTTTTCTGGAGAGGCCCAGCTTACGCGTTGACTTGGGATACATTCCAGCCGCTTTTGGTTGAAGGTTCCGACCAAACCAAACGAACCCATCGTTTGCTTAGGCCTTCCGCGAGTTGCCGCGTGAGGAGCTGCGCGGCGAAGCTGCAGCTGTTGCCCAGTACACGGACCATGATAGGTTTCATTCCCCGGGCGGTGCAGCACACATTTCCGCTGCAGATGTTCGCGATTCTGCCGACAATGTTGTGTAACATGTTGTTCCCATCCGATTGATGCACACCCGCAGTCCTGTTGGGCCATCAACGTGATGGTTCTGCTGCATGGCTTGATGCACGAAAACCCAGGCTTTGCAGGGATTCGCCGGAGTGATCTGAAGGCAGGTTGATGTACGCTTGACATGAATCTCACCAGATCTCGTTTCCTAGCAGGCATTGCGTGATGAGAAGACGTGCGACCGCTGGATAGTTGTGACGTCCATTTTCCAGCCATCTCCTGCGACCAGGATCGGGAATTTTGGGTGCAGGGATCCAGCAAACAGTCTTCTTACTTGTTGTACGAGTTTAGCCAACCTGCATGTCGTGCTGACGTGAGAGTTTTGTCGAGGAAGCTGGGCGAGTTGACGAAGCAAGGCAACAGTTTCCTCGGAGCATGGCGCGAGAGAAGAGCTGCATAGCATAAGTTACTGAACTTTGAGGTGTTGCTGCTTTATGTAGAAGCATTATTTTAGCATGCACAACGTGCATGGAGGCTGGTGTTATGTCGTCGTCGCAGACAAGAATGGCCCCAAAGACTATGACGACGTGGAAGGCTGGCATGAAGGGGACATTCAAACCCACTGTGCGGTATATTTTTTAATTTAGTTATGTATATTTATATATGTATATGTTTATATTTATCATATCTATATGTAGATAGATAAAGATATATATATATATATATCATACCAATACATACACATATATATATATCTCATCCTATCCTATCCTATCCTATCATATCCTATCATATCATACCATATCATATCACATCATACCGTACCGAGTACATGCCGATTCATCCCAGGCAGCAACTTTGTGTCGCTGTTGTGGCCCAGGTGTTACGTATCTCACTGTTGAACGTGCGAGGCTGAGGGCTTGACTCGTGTTGTGCCTCTTGGTGATGTTTCCTGTCAAGCCATCTCTTGTTCGATTTCATGAGGCCAGCGCGCCCTCCACTTCCACATCATGGATCATTTGCCATGGCGACATTTCGGGCGCAAAAATGTTGGGAGCTGAATAACTATGAGATTAAGTGCGTCCTTCACCATGTCGCAGCGCTGGGTTTTGGTTTCAGCTTTGTTTGGTGGATCTCTGCGACCTGTTCGATTACCGTTGCGTGATGTGACATGGGGTTGGGGCTCGGCACCGTGGGTGCGCAGCATATCTTGTGGTGGCTTGCAGCAGGACAGTTGCAAAGGACATGTCGTGGGTGCAAGAAGCTGAGTTGTACGATGTGCTCAGGTGGGTTTCTTGTACGCCATTGCGATCCGTGCTCAGTTGTTTGCAGATCTTGTGGACGGTCCAGGATCCAAGTTTGTGTGTCACGCAGGCCTTCATTGTTGGGAGCTTGTGTTTGCGACTTAGGCACGGAGCCAAGATCATTTATGATACCGATGATGACAATCGTCTGAAGGACGAAAGACTGGTATGCCGTACACCTAGCAACGGTTGGAACTGACTGCCTGAATCCAGAAGCAGGAGGCAAGGATACCGATCCTTGGCCTCGATGATCTTGGCCGTGAAGATGCTCTGATGCATATGCAGCGGATCAGCAGCGCCTGGAATGGTTTTGTGATTTGTGGCTATGCAGTTCGCTTCTCCTTTCGGAGATCGCATGCCTAGGACGGTTTGGCGATCAATGTGTCCCGGCCGGATGTGGAGACTCTCGGGCATGGCCTGCAACTTGTTGTGAACAGTGGGATGGTGGTGTATACCGTCGGGGTGTGTTGCTTTTCAGTTGGCCTTTTTTCTCAAGTTCTACATACAGCAAAATACGCCTCTTTTCGCAATGCAGGCGTCCAAAGTGCAAAGATGAAATCAATGTGCACAAACATCAGAGCACTTGGCCATGCAAGTGACAGTGGAGCTGACCACAATCTTTTTTTTTTCTCTGCAAGAGCGGGCCGCTGTCCCAGCTAGGAGACAGGCTAACTGCCTGCACAGTCCTACAGTGCTGCAGCTGCGCGA